GTTACTACTCTACAGAAAGCTGCTGAGTTTCCTGAAATCTCTACTAAAGGTCATTGACCCAACCAAAGCTTTGATTGAAGGAATATTCCATTTGCTTTTGCTCAGTTGTGTTTTATTTACTGGAAATTGAGGGGCCCAGGCTGTACAGTTGGGGAGACACCTAGCATAGCAAGTATGTACACAGACAGGTGTGACCATGAGAATATCTTTGCCTGCTGCAATTTGCAGGTGTTTTAGGCTGATTGGACTTTGATATAACTGGATTGTGGTCCAGCAGTTTCTTGGGGGAAGCAATTAGGGGATATTTAAAAATCTAATGTCCAGGTCTCATCCCAGAACAATAAAATCAGTTTCTTAGAGCGAGAGTGTGGGATTACAATGTGCCACCAAGTTCAAGACTAGGGTCATTTATAAACCTTACCTGGTCCCAAGGGAGCTAGGGGCCCTGACTCATGTCAGAGTGTCCCCTGAGTACATCTGACTTGGCCATGTGAGCCTCAGGTGATGTGATTTTGAAGCGACTCACTTGGAATCCCAATGCCAAGGGTGAGAGAGAACACATGGGTAATTAAGGAAAGTCTGCCCCTTATTTTAACCACCATTTTGCTCATGGCTTCCCAGTTTTGTGTGCACTTGACCAGTGAATTCAGATAGCACAGCAGAGTACAACAAAAAGGAATGGGCAATTGAACTCTTCCTCTGGTTGCTGCATCTCTCTAGCTTGGACCTGCAGGTTTGGGATGGGGTTGGTGATTTTCGCTTTCAACAGCCTTTTAATGAGACTCATGGTCTAATCTAAGGTCATTCCTGCTAATAATCATAAGCCAGCTGCCTCTGCATCTGACAGCAGCAGTGGGCAAAAAGTCCCAGACCTCTGAGGGTCTATAAATAATCAGTCACCAAGACAGACACAACAAACAAACAGACAGACAAGGTAAATACTCTTCTTACCAGGAATGGCTGGGTAAAGGTACCATGGGGAAATATTCCTGACAAAAATATCCAGAAATAAACTTCACAGGGAACATGAAAGATATTTTACTCTACTGAAGGGAATGATAAAAGCATGAACACATTGCAAGATGTATGGTATTCCAAAATGAAAGGCTCAAATATTAAATGTTGTTAGGTTTTTTTCCCCCAAATTAAAATATAAGTGTAGTTCTGGTTCAAAACACAATACTTCTACTTTTTGAACCTGAAAAAATAATTCCATTTGGGAGAATAAATAAGTTTAGAAAATAAAATTCTGGGGAAGAAAGAATAAAGACAATGGTTCTTACCTAAACTATATAAAAACATTATGTTTAAAATGGAGTAATTGAAAAAAAATTTAAGAGGAACCAGCTATCCTTAGGACTGAGATCCAGAAACTGACCTGTGAAGCTTTGGGAATTTGTTGTGGGATCAAGATGGCTTTTTGACCAGTTTCTGGAAAGCTCACAGAAAAATAAATGGCTAAGACCCTCATTTGAATAAATAAAGTTAGACTTGTAAGACATTAGATAAAAATAAATTCTATTAAGATTTAGACTGGAGGCCGGGCGCGGTGGCTCACGCCTGTAATCCTAGCTCTCTGGGAGGCCGAGGCGGGCGGATTGCTCAAGGTCAGGAGTTCAAAACCAGCCTGAGCAAGAGCGAGACCCCGTCTCTACTATAAATAGAAAGAAATTAATTGGCCAACTGATATATATACAAAAAATTAGCCGGGCATGGTGGCGCATGCCTGTAGTCCCAGCTACTCGGGAGGTTGAGGCAGAAGGATCGCTCGAGCCCAGGAGATTGAGGTTGCTGTGAGCTAGGCTGACGCCACAGCACACTCACTCTAGCCTGGACAACAAAGCGAGACTCTGTCTCAAAAAAAAAAAAAAAAAAAGATTTAGACTGGAATATGTATTCATGTAACAAACTTTAATGGCACCACCATGTGGTATGTACTGCCGTACAGATATTAACGCATTTAATTCTCATAATTCCCATGAAAAGGCCGGGCGCGGTGGCTCACACCTGTAATCCTAGCTCTCTGGGAGGCCGAGGCAGGCAGATTGCTCAAGGTCAGGGGTTCGAAACCAGCCTGAGCAAGAGCGAAACCCCGTCTCTACTATAAATAGAAAGAAATTAATTGGCCAACTAACATATATATAGAAAAAATTAGCCGGGCATGGTGGCGCGTGCCTGTAGCCCAGCTACTTGGGAGGCTGAGGCAGGAGGATCGCTTGAGCCCAGGAGTTTGAGGTTGCTGTGAGCTAGGCTGACGCCATGGCACTCACTCTAGCCTGGGCAACAAAGTGAGACTCTGTCTCAAAAAAAAAAAAAAAAATTCCCATGAAGAAGAAACGATTATTGTCCCCATTGTACAGAAGAGATGAGTGAAGCTGAGAGCTTGCCCAGGTCACACTTCCGGTGGAATTCGTTCCCACATGGTCCAGCTCCATGGCCCTGGGCCTCCCTCCTTCAGTATACACACACTGTCACACAAACACACACAGATGCCCGACACACCACACCTAGTGGTGTATGTAGCAAAAAACGTTGCATCTTGCTCACAATTTTGTGGGCCAGGACTCCAGGCAGGGCAGAGCTGAGCAGTTCTTGGGTCCCTATGTGGTTGCAGTGGGACGACAGCTGGTGCTGCAGTCACTATAGAACTCAGATTGGACTGGACATCTGATGAGGCCCACAGACCTGGCCGGCAGGTGACACTGGCTTGGCAGGGGGCTTGGCCGGGGCGGGCACCCAGAGCACCTCTGGGCAGCCCTCCAGCCCGACGGTCTAGGGGGAGTCAGATCTTTACACACAGCCTGGCTTCCTCCAGGGTCCAGGAAAGCTCTGGGGCCTTTCCCGACCTCGCCTTGGAAGCCACTGCCCCCCTTCCTCTGCAGTTGTCAGTGGATGCCATCACAAGCCCACCCAGGGCCAAGAGGCAGGGACAGAGACCCCACATGTCAATGTCACCAGTGCCAAAGCATGTCGGGCTATGTTTTAAAACCATCACAATGTGTGATCAGGTTAATAAAGAAATATCTAAAATTGATGGAGTGCTTACTCAGAGCCGGGCTCTATCGATTTATGTTGAAAATTTTATATAAAACATACACTTATATTTAACATTTAAAATAAATAAAGGTAAAAGTAAAACTATGCAGATGAAAGTTGCAGGGGCTGGGCTGCCTCTTCAGGACACACTGGCTGCTGTGACCTCACCTGGAGCCCAGGGTCAAGGCATTCACAGCCCTGCCAGCTCCTGACGGGAACCCGGGGTGGCACCCACATGCATCCCTGTGGACTGTGGGCCACAGGCAGAGGGAGTGAAAGGGAGGGGGCACTCACGGAGTCAGGGGGACCCTCTCGCTGCCAACTTTCCCAAGGGAGAGGATTGTATTAAGTGTCAGAAAAAAGACATGTTTACAAGAAATCAGCCGTTCATGGTGTCTGGATGGTAGCTGTTTGTGTCAAACCGAGATCTTTCATTTAGGTAGAAAGCCATGAGCACGTCTCTGCTGGGAGGCCTTCCCCACCGACCCCACTTCTGGGCACCTGCTGCTCAGCCTGCCCTCCCAACAGAAGCCTGAATCACTAAGTCCTTGCACCCTAGACAGTCACACCCAGACTCCAATCTCCCCAAGTTAGGCTTTCACTTCTCTCACCCCAAGGACTTTTGTTAATGAACTGGGGTTCAGGGGCTCTGCATGCAGCATGGAGACGGGGTGAAGCACACGCTCCCCCTCTCCCTGCCCGGCCTTCCCAGGGCTGGCTTTGCCGGTACAACATGTTGGGGGTCGCCAGCCCAGGGCCATTTGGCAGATTCCCCTTTCTCATTTGGCCTTCAGTGTCACCGGCAAGGGCTCCAGGACAGCTTGGTCCCTGCAGCGGAATGTAAAAGATATTTGAAGAACTGTTCTTGTCCCTGCTCTGAGACTCAGACACTCCCAAAGTAGCCACTCAGTCCCCTGATGGGCTTATCAGCTCAGGCACTGATTTGCTATCTAGAACCAGCAGGACAAGGAACCCGCCCCAGAGCATCAGCCCTGAGGGCTGCACCCCTCTGCCCTGAAAGGGCTAATGGAAGGACAGTGGGACTAGCATGCACCTTAGGACTGTCACCTCCTGCTCAGGGCTGAGAAACATCCACTATTCCGTGGAATGATGTGGACACCTAGGTGATGTTCTTTATGCATTAAAATATCCTTCTTGGAAAATATCCTTCTTGGAAAAAGAAGAGAGACTATCAGTCCCATTTGTGTCTTAACTTCCCCATCCTTAATGTGAAGCTTGATGTGAGAACTTGCTTTAAATCCAAGTCCAGAGAAAGGGCTGGTGGGTGTGAACCTGCAACACCCTCCTAGGGCACGACCTCCCAGTGCAGGGCACGACCTCCCAGTGCAGGGCATGACCTCCCAGTGCAGGGCACGGCCTCCCAGGATGGACCAGAGCAGGTGCTGCCTTCACTCTGTAGCATTTTTCCCATCTTTGGTTCTGGTTGGTGTTTCCCCCAATCAGTTACACATACACAGGTTTGCTTTTAGTCTTTCCATGTAGGGGCCAAAGGATTTGTGGAAAGCAGTGGACATAAATCACTATTTATTAGTCTCTAGGGAATTTGATGAGAGAATATCAGTCCCTGGAGTCTGATCAACTCTGCAAACATGAGTGGGACCTACTGCCTGGCCAGCTCCCCTGAGGGCCGGTCCCCTCCTCCCTGTCTGACATCCTCTGGGGGCAGCAGCCCAGCATCCATGGAAAGCAGCCCGGGCACCCTGCTCCACGGACCCCTTCACAAGGAGCTGCTGCAGCTGAGCACCCGGGCTCCAGCCCCTCACTGTTCTTGTCCCTGCTCTGAGACTCAGATACCCCCAAAGTAGCCACTCAGTCCCCTGATGGGCTTATCAGCTCTCAGGCACTGATTTGCTATCTAGAACCAGCAGGACAAGGAGCTCTTTACAAAGGGACTGTGGAAACCCTTCTCATGTGCACATCCCCTAGAGAGCCACCAACCCAAGAAGGAGCCAATGCTACTTTTTTATTTAAGGAGTTGGGAGCAGAGCATGTGTACCATGGTACTGGTAAATTTGAGAAGCAATGAGGAGAAAGGAAAAAGAAGAACCACTTGGCTGTTGAACAAAGGCCCCAAGCCTTCTCTACTTGCCTCCGGGTGCTGGTGCACAGTGGAGACCGGCAGCAGGGTGGGGCCTCCACCCCAGGCTAGAGAACACTCTAAGGCAGTGCGAGGTGTAGGGAAGAGGCAATCAGTGCAGCCCAGCCTGGCTCAGACCCTTAGGCATTCTCACAGCTGGATTTCACCACACTTATTTTGCCCAACCAGGGCACACTGTAGATCTGGAAAGAGCAGAGCTCTTCCTGTGAAAGGGAAAAGAGAGGGACAATCAGTGCAGGTGACAGTTACAGGGTTGATCCCCAGCCATGCGATGCCAGGGTGGGGGCGAGGAAGCTTGGGGCTGAGACACTGGGCCCCCACCGACCCCCGCCGAGTCCCAAGACACCCAGCCCGACTGTGCAGTGACTGCTCCATGGCCCTCCCAGGGCTCCAAGAGCACCAGCTGTCCCTGTGTCCCCCACCCCAACACAGCCCTGGAAGGAGCAGCCTGTGCAAGGCCACTGGAGACCACAGGGTGCAGGTGGCGGGGAGGCAGCTTGCTGTCCCCAAGCTCCCTCCACCTCCAGCCCCTGGGTCAGCACTGAGAGGGCCCAGAGGGAAGACGCCGGGGAGGAGAACTTCCCTGAAAGAGCTGGAGCATGGGGAGTGGGTGACAACGGGAGTGTGGCTCTCCCCAGAGCAGAGACCTCACAAGAAGCAGCTGGGTCCTTGGAGTGGCTGGTGTTGGGTGAGCAGGGGCAGCCTCGGAGGGCTTGGGCCACTTATAGGCCTCTGATTCCCTCTAATCTGCTCAGTGTGGCCATGGGTGTGGGCAGGTGGCCGAGGCTGGCACTGAACAAAGCCCTTCTCTCTCCCCAGCACCCAGCTCTGAGGCTGATTCCTCCAGCACTGCAGGGAACACCCCAGAACAGGCAGGGCACCCTGCTGTGTGCTCTCAGTACCCCATTCCCAACTAAGGCCCTCTTTGCAATTCAAATTAGCCATGTGCACACACCCTCCCATCTTCCCCATATGCACACAGGAATGCATCTATGTAACTCACATGCACCCCTCACCCACAGGCATCTATGCACAAACCCCCACCCACACTCCCCCACCCACACTCCCATGCACCTCCCCCACACACCCCAGCATGTGCACATGGACATGCGTGCATGTCCCCACACACTCTGTGCTTGCAAACACTCATGCACCCACACGCCTCCGTGTATACACACACACCCTCCTGAACAGGAGCGGGATCACAGGAACACACATATCCCCCTCTGCAGTGCATTACTGGCCCCTGACCCCCATCAGGCACATACCCTCTTCAGATGTGGCTGCTCATGGAAGGGACAGTTGTCCAAGTTGGGCTGGGACTTGGTACACGTGGTCCGGCCCATCTTCACATCGAAGTAGTAGTTCATCCCAGCCACGACCTACACATGTGCAAGAGCAGGATTCACCTACAGCGCTGCCGTCAACTTCACACGCACACAGGCAGTACACTGTTGCTGAGCTACTGCCCGTGCCCAGGGACTTCACGCCTGCATTCACACTGTCACCTGAGAGGCACATAAGCCACCTCCTCCTGCTGGCTGGCAGGGGCACTGTACCCCAGGTCCTCCCTTGTAATTTGTTTTCTCTGAGCAACTCCAATAAGGTGTCTCACGCAGCCAAGTAGGAGGAGAGGGAAGAAAATAAAGATGAAAGCCACAAACTAAAAACCTCTTAACTGGATTCAGGAATGGCAGGCACATCTCGACAAACAGACGGCGTGGGGCAAATAAACACAGCCGTGTGCCAGGAGCACAGGGCAAGGTCTAAGCACAGGAGAAGGCTCTGTGCCTGAGCAGATGATTAATCATGTCCTGCTAATTGTTGCTCAGGTGGCAGGGAGCCCCGATCTATTCTAGGAAGGCTGTCTTCAGATGATTCAATTTCAGCTGACTTCCAGCCACTAGCACACAGCCCAATAAAATCCCATTTTTTATTTACTCCAGATTTAGTTATTCCTTGTTTATCAGCAGGAAATGGGATGCTTCACAAACATGGATGTGTTGGGCCCACAAGAGACTGCTCTCAAATGCCTCTGTTTTAAGTGCGATTTTGGTGGCAATATTTCTCAAGAGAGTCACACACCTACCTGCACAGCTTACATTTGTGACTGCAGAATAGAACTGACCCCTTTGCCTGCACAGGCCCTCCCTCAGAGTTGACTTGTCAGAACTGTGGAACAGCATGGGATGAAGGACCCTGGACCAGGGCTCTAGACCTTGCCCCATAGAACCATGAGCAAGTCCCATGATTCCTCCAGTATCAGTTTTCCCATCTGGAAAATAGGCTCACAGGACCAGTGATCTGTGGCGCCCTGTGCTCTACTCCAAGTCAGGGCACCCTCCAGTGGCGTAGGCTGGGGGCAGTGCTGCAGCACCAGGGGCACACCTCATGTCCAAGGGCGAGAGCACCAGCTGAGGGCTGCAGGAGGAGAAATAGGCTGGTCTGGATTCTCATGAGTTTCCGGAGCAGGTGGGAAGAACGCTACACTCTGGCATGCCCATATCACGCCGTGCTGCTCTGCCACTCCGGGCAAGCTTGGCCCTAGCTGCCCTCCCTGACACTCTCTCCCGACCCCTTCTCCACGCCCACTGCCCTCTCCCTCTGCCAGAGTCTAGCTGCGCCAGGCTGCGCTGGCAGAGGCAGGGTTGGGGCATGGCCCTCTGCACCCCAGCAGGTGCTCGGCTGCCTGTGGCTGTGGGTGGTGCTCTGGGGGCTCAGGGTGAAGGACGCTCACCCTGGGGGCTGCTCCCAACGCTGTGACTTTTGGAGGGAAGCGTGTAACTTCAGGACTAGGAGGCCAGGCTCCCCGGGGGGCACCTGCTGAGGCACTCAGGGAGGAGGACATGCCTCCTCTGTGCGCACATTATGGCCTGAATCTTGAGGGGGCGGCAGGTTCCGCAACCGTCTCTATATCACAAGTGGCTGGATGGCAGGGAAATGCCAATGACACATACTGAGAGGCTGCTGCAGGTTAGACAAGGCTGAGGAGACGAGACAGAGGCGGCAATGCATGGCCCAAGAGTGTCCTCAGGTATAAAGGCCATCAGTGGGACAGCTAGGGAAATCTGAACAGGTCTGTTCATGAGATAACTGAATATATCAGTATTGATTCCTGATTTTCAAAACTGAATTGTGGTTATGTGAGCTGATGCCTTTGTTTTTAGGACATATGCACTGAAGTGCTTATTCTCAAAAGGTTCAGAAAAATAAATGCATACACAGTGTATACACATACCCGTCTACACAGGCATGTGGAGGGTGGGGTGGGTGAAGCCAATAGGACCAAGTGATATCGTGAGAGACCTGCGTGAAGAGTCTACAGTTATGCTTTGTACTATTTTTGCAACTGCTTTAAATCTGAAATTATGTCAAAATAAAAAGTTAAAAGGAAAAAAATTGCTTAAAAAAATAATTTAGTGGCAGAGTCTGGAGGGCAGCCAGGTGGGGGGTTCTGTTTTCCCACCTCCTCTGGGTATTCAGTTGGCAGCCCACACTGGCCCCCGCGTCCCAGGTTGGGGTGTCCCGGGCTGGGGGTAGGGCGCTAAGCAAGACACAGCGCGACCCTGACCCTGGCGCTGCGGCGCGCCCAGCCAGCTGGCGTCTGGAAGCAGCTCTGAGGCGCCAGGCGCAGGCTTGGCGCGCAAGGCCGGCTCCCGGCCAGGCCGGAGTCAGCATCCCGGGACACGCACGCCAAGGGCTGCGGGACGACTGCGAGACCCGGGACACGGCTGGCAAGGCGCTCGGGCGCGGCCGCGAGGGGCGCCAGGGCGAGGACCCGCAAGGGGCCGGGCGGGATGGGGACGTGGACGGGTTTGCCCCTGCGACTCCCCACGGGGCGGCGGCCACACGCACCTGCTTGCGGGCGCGCACCACCTGCAGGGCGCGGCTGTGGTACCTGTCGTTGCTCGCTTTGTTGTACTCGCTGACGGCGAAGTCCAGCGCACGCTGCACGTCCTCCTCGTTGACGTTGGCGTCCATGAGGCCGCCCACCAGGGGCGACCGCCGGCCCGAGCTGGCGCCGGCCGCGGCGCTCACGGCCAGGGCCACGGCCAGCGCGGCCAGCAGGAGCAGCAGGGCGCGCGAGGAGCCGGCCATGGTGGGTTCGGACGCGGATCTCTGGGACCGAGCTGCTGCAAAACAAGTGGGCGCGATCTGAGATCCGAGCCCCGCCTGCAGGGAGGCGGCACCTTTATCCTGCTGGGCCGCCCCGCCCCGGCCCGCCTCTTCCGGGCCGCCTCCCCCCTGCTGCTCGCCCCGCCCGCCCGCCAGCCAGCCAAGCGGCTCTGGCCCTTTTTGCTGCGCCACTTCGGACCCTGCCCGCTGCAGCTCCTCTCCCCACGCCCTCCTCCCCCTCCCGCGCCTGCCCCTGCTTCCCTTTCGCCCTCCCAGCCTGCCCCTCCCCAGCAGCCCTGCCACTCCCTTCCTCCTCTTCTGTCTACCCCTCCTTCTCATGCTCCTCCCCTCCTCTGTCCCCAGGCCTGTCCCTCCCACCAAGCTTGGGTTGGGTCACTCTGGTTAGAGAGATTTCAGGGCTCTCCAGGCCCTAAAAACATGGGCCCTCCAAGTTCTGTTTCCTCAGAAAAGGGGGAAAAAAAAGGTCTTGGCCTCCTGAGGTCTTGAGGTGGTGGGGTCTGGAGCATCCCTTAGCCCTTGGTCAAGGCGTGGGAATCCTCAAAACTGGGTGTGATTTCAAAGGCTCCAGGAAAACTCAGTCCACACTCTGTTCTGGGGAAATTCCTTGCCAAACCTAAGGGAATTAACCTTTATTTGGGTAAAGGTTGCCTGGTTCTTCTTTCACAACTGAATATTATTCAGTAAATAAAACTTTCACCACTTGGGACCAATCCGGGCCATCTAGAGCCTGCAGATGGAGCCTGGGTTGATAAGCCATGGACTTGACCCTGCAGAGTGGCTAACCAGTAGAGAAGTGACGCATACCCATGTGCAACTGTCAGTTTTCCAGTTCCCACATTAAAAAACAGGCTAAAATCACTTTGATCATGTTTTTATTTTGCCTAATACATCCAAAATATTGTTCCAACATATAAGGACAATTGTTAACAAGACAATTTACATTCTTCTGGGTGTCTGCACTATGTGCTCGGAATTTTGTGTATATTTTTTGCACTTAGAGCATGTGCCAATTTGGACTGGCCCCATTTCAAGCACCCCACAGCCACATGTGGCTGGTGGCTGGGGTATTGCATAGCCCAGCTTTAGGGTATGCGGGGGATGGGGGACAGTGATTAATAATTAAGATCAGGGAGTTATAGAAGCTCTGTTGGGAGTAAATAGAAGGAGGAGGGGAGAGAGATGGTGCAGGGAGGGAAGACCTGGAAGGACAAAAGTCCTACCTGGACCAGGAAATCAGAGCTCTAGGCAGAGGGCACAGCCAGCGCAAAGGCCCTGAGGTGCGGCTGGGTGTACCTCTCCTGGAAGGGTGTGTGTGTCTTGGAACCTCATGGTACATTGCGAGTGGGCTGGGGCTGGAAGGGTGTAAGGAGACTCTCACCATGCAGTGGGGGGGGGCAGTGAAGGGAGGCCCACAGGCCCAGGGATGAGCACACGGGCCGCTCTCACTTCTCCCCTCTGGGTGCTGGGCTGCTAGACCTGGTCTGTCCCGGCCCGCGGGACCTTCTGTTACTCGACGGGGGCGAGGGGACCGTGCCTGAAGAGATGGGCGAGAGAAAGACGAGACCAAGAAAATGTTGTCAAGGTCTACTTTACTTGGATTTTTAGTAGGTTTTATATACAGAAAACAAGAAAGTATGAAACAGAAAAATAGAGTGGGGGATGATGAGGCTGAGTGTGGGCTAATTCGCCCAATCAGCATCTCAATGGCACCGAAAGCTGTTTGTGATGGATCACTCAATCCACCTGCAGGGGGTCGGGAACAATGCAGGTAGCTGCCCCGGAGCAAGCACGTCATGGAATGCATTCTTCTTGGAACTAGTAGCTGGCAGGGCTGGGTGCGTATTATTCATTTTAGGCTATTTTCGTGCGTTAGGACAAGTCAGGACAAGCGTGGTTGGAATGTGGAGGGTCTAGTCTTCAACATCTCCCCCTATCTTATTAATATGAGTGAGTTTCCAGGTTGAGTGGAGAGCCTCGTCTTAGGCACCCGTATGGGCTTCGCGACCAGGCGAACCCCAATATAAGATCGGGCAATCAGATGTCGTGAGGCCTCTGTCTTAGGCATATGTAGGTGGCAGTCTAGCTCCGGCACTCCTGATTGCTAGTGAAGTGTCCGCGTTGGCTATGGACCTACAAAATTTCCTATTCCGTTGCACATGAGTTCCCTCACAGCTGAGCCATATGCGTGTAGTGTTGAAAGGCATCCTGGTACGCAAACAAACAGGCAGCATCGACAAACCACTCAATGGTAGTGCTGCAGGCCACAGTTCTCAGGATGCGACGCCTGCCATAAATAGTATTAGAATAATTGTATACATAATCATTGCAGCTTTAAGATTCAAATAAAAATGGGACGATCTATCTGAGTTTTTGGAACCAAAAACTGCTGGTATCTCTCCACTGTCTGCCTTCGCTAAAAGTGGTCTGAGAATTTAGACCTTCATGTTTGTGAGATTCGTGGTTGGGAATGTCATCTTCAAGTAGGAGTCTTTCTATCTCTGAAGAGCCCTCTTATGTTCCTAAAGCCATGTGTCTGAGTAAATAACACGGAGACGCATTTTTGTGTGGTGCGTGTCATGAACTGCGACTTGACTAGTTTCTTACAGTTTGGGTTTCATGTTTTTTTGATATACGAAACTGTTTTCTCCTGGCACGCCAAACGTGAGAAGTCAAGACATAAAAAATAACCTTTACAAAAACCGGCCCTTCAAGATCAATCTGTGAGACAGCAAATGTGGAGTAGCCTCAGCGGGTATGTTGCAAGTCAAACCATTAATATGTCCTTCACTGCCATCACTTTGTTCCTCCGTCTAGTTTCTATAATCTGTTTTCAGGCTTGTCTAACTCTCTCATGTATCTTCTACCAGGCCTGTTTTGTCTGCGTTAGAAGCAGCTATCTCTTCTCTTGCCAAAGTAGGCGCTGGCGCACAAATGACCTCGCACGTCTTCGCGAGTTAGAAAACACTACAATTCCAGCCTCTTCATAATTATTGATCATGACCTTAGGCCTTCAGAGAGTGAAGCGAGAGGACTATTTGAGATATTAGGCCGTGTAAGCTCTCGGAGATTTATATTGGTCATCGATATGTAGCCCTGTGAGCTATGCATATCGGTTATACCACTGCTGGTTGTAGAATAGGCGGTGACACTAGAGATGGCTTGGATTGCCTAGTGTCACCAGACACTACATGTGGTACAAATATTCCTAATTAAATAATGATCAGCGGAACCTAAGATATCGGATGAATCCTGTAAATGCGAAAAAAATGTTGTTTTCTATGGCCGGCTGATGAGAGTGTAGTCAAGATTACATCTTACTTTATATACCCGGTGCATAAGTGTAAAAATCAGGATGTTGGTTCACCGCAGCAAACTCCCAAACATATCAACTGAGATCGTATACGCAGCTATTTGATATAGTGTCGAATTTACGGGCGAAGAACAATGTTTAGATATGTTTTGTAAAGACAAATATATACTATATACAAATATTGATGATACATGAGATTTGGAGAAATAAGAGCCATGATAATACACAATTGAATATCTCTAGTTAGAGACGTCGCAGGAGATAAGCAAGAATTTGTTTGCAGAGTCTTATTGAAATGATCAAATTAACCTGTTT